TCTCTTCCTCCTCCTCCTCCTTCTCCTTCTCCTTCTTCTTCTTCTTCTTCTTTTTTGTGGTACCAGTGACTGAACTCAGGACCTTGAGCTTGCCAGGCAAGTGCTTATGCTACTGAGCTATCTACCTGGCCCTATTTATTAACTTTCTAATAATAGCCATTCATTCTGGGGTAATATGAAATCAGAATGTTGTTTTAATTTTAATTTTGTGAATGACCAATGATATTGAATTTTTTTCATGTATTTATTTGCCACTTGTATTTATTCATTTGAAAAATATATATCCATCTCAGATGCCCACTTTTGGATAGAGTCTTTGAATTATGGGGTCCTCATTTTGTTTTATTCCTTATATGTTGTAGATAGAAATGTTTCGTAGAGAGGCTTGGTACTAAATAAATAAATAAATAAATAATTTTTTTTAAAAAAAGTGTTAGATAGAAGTCTTCTGTGAGAGGGACTGTTGACTAAGAATTTTTCCAAATTTGTAGGTTTTCATTTTACTCTCTTTTTTTTTTCATTTTACTCTCTTTGTGATTGATTTGACATGCAAAAACTTTTCAAAATGATAATGTCCCAGTTGTTGATTATTTCAAGTATTTCCTGTGTAGTTTTGTTTTTGTTTGTGAACTCTCTACCTATCCCTATATCTTTAAGATATCTACCTGTGTTTTCCTCCAGAATATTTAGTGGTTTTGTTTTAATAGTTAAATCTTTGAAACATTTTGATTATGGTTTTGGGCATGATGACAGACATGGGTCCAATTTTAGGCTTTGCCATGTGGAAAGCCAGTTTTTCCAGCACCATTTGTTAACTCCATCATATGCCAATCACAAGCTAGTTTCAGCAGTTACATTCCCTTGATCATGGCTGCATGAGGAGGTGATTAATTGGAAAACAGGGAGACCAGACATGGCCCGAAGTGACGTCACGCAGCCATGCCACTGCACCACGTTCATCGACTCCACTGGCATTTGGTAAGGCATTCAGTCTGCTCTCTCCAGGGACTCTCAGGCAGCCTGTGAGACTGGACCACGTGGTGCTTCTGTTGCAGGCTGGAGTCCTCAGTGGCTTCATCCAGAAGTGTATCGACAGCCGGTTACTGTAGCACAAGCCTGACCTGGAAGAGCCACCAAGAGAGGCAGGGTGGGTAGGTGGAGGGCACCCCGGGTCCACAGTCTAGGCTGCACGGGGGAAGACTCAGCTAAGGCAAGGACTCCCACAGCCTCCTCCTGGCTTGTACCATCTGGCCAGCCACACAGTGGTTGCCGCCAGGGAAGCCAGGCAATGTACTTGGGGCCTGGCCCCCGGCCTGCCTCACACTGTGGCGAGGAGCTGGACTGGCCCTGAGGAGCACAGGGCTCCTAGGCTGACACTCACCTTCTCAGCGCCCATGCTGGGGCACTTCCAGTTGTACAGATAATACTGCAGGTTGCCATCCCCTATGCCGAACTTGAGCTTCTCCAGGAAAGTCTTGTTCTCCATGAGATCCAGCGCGTTGAACACATCGAACCCTTTCAATTTGGCGAGAACAAGTGCATCACTCATGAGATCGAGGAGAGGCGTCTGGGTGTGGACATTGTAGAAGAAGTAAGCCACTTTCAGACTCTTGTGGGCTGGGTGGTTCATGATGGTGGAGGGAAGTGTTTAGAAACTAAGAAAATCTGTCACCTCGCCCCTGGCATTCTCCACCACGAAGGTGTCGATGATGTTCTCCTGGGGGTAGAACCAGTGCTCCACTTCCTCCTGGCTCATGACTGGGGTGAGGTGGAACTGCTTCAGGTACCGGGCGAGCAGCTGGTTCACAGCTGGAATGTCCTTTTTCTCCATTGGACGCAGCCCAGCTGTCTTAGGATTCTCTGGCAGCCGGTAGAGCTTCCTGGTGCGCTGCATGGTCATGTTCCTGCTCAGGTGGGAGAACTTCACCTCAATCAGCTTCCGGGGGTTAAGGGACCGATGCTAGTACCTGCGGGTGCCCACGGTCTTGGGCAGCACCACCCCAGCAGTGTATACAGCTTGGAAGATGCCCTCCAGGTGCACTCGCAACGTTATCTCGCGGATCAAGACTGGTGCCACCCTCTTGGAACGAAGCTTCTTGTGGACACACAGGAAATTGATCTCTACCATCTTCTTCTCTGTGTCATAGATGTGGATGTTTGCTGGGATGGCACTAATGAACCCATCCAGTTTCTGACTTGAGACCACACGAACCCCGCAGTGCCACTGGGGAAGCCAGCCAGGTGGCCACAGAGCCCACAGGAGAAACTCTGGAGAGCAATCGAAGCGGAACATGTTGTCATCATCCTCCACATAGTTCTCATTCAGTAGTGTGTACGGTTCTTTCAGCACCCCCTGGTCACCCAGGTCCAAGGCATCCCAGGTGAAGCCCTGGGGCAGGGTGTATGGCTCCTGGCAGACGTGGTCTTTGTCAGGTTCCACGGGACCGTGGTTGTTCACCACTTCGCCCAATTTGGGGACAGGCTGCATATCCCAGAACTGGTAGCTTCGTTTGCTGGCCTCTTCCACGGTCTTGGCAGGTCCTTGGCCCACTGAGAACAGCTCAATGGCCTTCTGAATTTCCTAGATCCTTTCTGCTGGCAAAGAGTTCATCTTCACAGGCTGATCCTGGTTTGAATCTGTCTGTCTGCCTTTTTCTTTCTTTTTTTTGTTTCTTTTTCTTCTTTTTGGCTCCAGTGTCATTGGCTGGACTCAAACCACCCCGGCTGTAGCTGCTGTCCTCCTCGTTCTCGCAGTCACTGCAGTGCCCATGGCTGTTCCCTTTGCCTTCCAGCTTCTGCGGCCACGAAGGTGCCAGGGACTTCACTGCTGTCTCACCCTCATCCACCATCTTGAGTTGCCAGCAGAGGCTATCTTTCTTCCAGGGAACATATTTGACTCCTTTGTCAAAGATAATGTGGCTGGAGCTGGGGAGATGGCTCAGTAGAATAAGCACTTCCCTGGCAAGTGCAAGGGTCTGAGTTCAATCCCTGCTTCTGCCCCCCCCCAAAAAAAAAGATAATGTGGCTAAGTATGTTTGTATTTGTGTCTGCAACTTCTAATCTGTTCCACTGATCCTCAAGTCTGTTTGTTTGTTTGTTTGTTTGTTTGTTGTTTGTTTTTTGCCAGGCCATACTTATTTTACAACAGTAACTTTGTAGTAAAATTTCAAGTCAGGGATTGTGATGCCTCCTGCCTTGCCTTTCTTGCCCAGGATCTTGTCTGCTTTTCTAGATCTCTTCTGGTTTCACATGAATTTTAGGAATATTTTCTCTAGATATATGAGGGATACTAATATATTTTAATAGGGATTGCACTGCATCTGTATAATAATTTTGGGAGTATCCGAATTTTCACAATGTTAGTTCTTCCTATAAAGTAGCAGGAAATATCTGTCCATTTTCTGAAATCATCTTTATCTTTTTTTCTCAGACTATTGCAATTTTTGCTGTATTTTTACTTCCTTTGTGAATTGATTCTCAAATATTTCATTTTTTGGACATTATTATGAAAGGCTTGATTTCTCTAATTTCTTTCACAGTGCATTCATTGTTTGTATACACAAGTGCAATCAATTTGTTAGTGCTGACTTATACCTTTGTATGTTACTCAATTTGGCTATTAAATACACAGTTTTCTTAGTGGAATTGTTAGTTATCTATGTAAAATATCATGTCATCTACAAATAATGATTATTTCATTTTGTCTTTTCCAATTATTTATTTTCTTTCTCTTTCTTGTATAATTGCTCTGTCTAATGTTTCCAGAAGTATAATGAGTAAGACTGGTAATGTTGTAGGCAACTAAATTAGGTAGAAATATTAAAGGCAGTCAGACAGGCCCAGGCCTTCAAGGAGACAAGATGGAGGACTAGGTGACTCTGCAACTTGGAAGAGCCAAACACTCCCATATGGGCCAGACCTCAAGACCAAGACAAAAGAGGCAACACAGCTACATGCTTCCCTAGGGATGGGCATCAGGGATTGATACTCTAGGTATCAGTCACCTTGAAAGAGCATAAATGAGTCACTAGCCCAACGCCCAACAGAAAGAGACCCTGTCCCGTATACCTGCCATGACTCACTTCCCCATTTGGTACTGGATTTAATCAATTTTACCTGAGCAATGGTGCTTGTAATCTCATTATTGACCATAGTTTTGTTCCAACTCATGCCTACCTACACGAGTTCACATGTCTTCTCCACCACCTTAGGTCTGCCTCACATGTTTTTCCTCTATAAAAATCCCTGGAAGAGACAGCTTCCCAGGGACAACCCACTCAGAACCCCCTCCTGTCCCTCTCTCTGACAAGAGCTTTCTTTCCCCCAATAAGTATATTCTGCTCATAGTCTCTGTTTGTTCCTAAACTTCATTCTTTGGTTTTAGAGAACATGAACTCATCCCAGGTACTTTTTAGGTTGGGAGATCAGATTTTCTCCCTATGTCATTTGGAGGTTCCCTGTGTCAGTAACAGTGGACATCCTTGTCTTGTTCCTGATTTTAAAGTGAAGGCTTTCTGCATTTTCCCATTTAATATGATGTTGCCTGTTGATTTGTCATAGATGGCTTTTATTAGGTTCTGGTAAAGACAATCTATTTCAATTTTCTGTATGGTTTTTATCATGAATGAGTGTTGGACTTTGTCGAAAGATTTTTCTGCATGTATTGAGGCGATCATGTAAGTTTTGTCTTTGACTCTGTTGATGTGGTGTATTACATTTATTGATTAGTGTATGTTCAAACATCCCTGCTTTCCTGGGATGAATCCCACTTGGTCTTGATGTACAATCTTTTTGATGGTTTCTTACATGCTGTTTGCTAAGATTTTATTGAGGATTTTTGCATCTATTTTCATTAGAAAGATTGGCCTGAAGTTCTCTCTTTTTGTTGCATCTTTCTCTTGTATTGTTTTCAGAGTAATACTCGACCCCAGGAATGAGTTTTGCGGAACTGCTTCCCTTTCCATTTCGCTGATGAGTTTGAAAAGACCTAACATTAAATATTTTCTAAGTTTCTTTTAGAATTCAACTTCAAATTCATTAGTATCTGTGCTTTTCTTTGTTGGTAGGTGTTTTATTACATTTTTAATTTCATTCACTGATATTTTGTTATCTAGAATTTTTATATCTTCTTGTTTTAGCTTTGGTAATTAATATATATATATATATATATATATAGGAATTTGTCAATTTCTTCTGTTTTCCTTCCTATGGGATTAAAGATTTTGGTAGCAGTGATTGAAATCTAATGAATTTCTTTTGAGTCTGCACTGATTTCACTCTTTTCATTCCTTATTCCATGAATTTGAATTTTTTCTTTCCTTTTTGTAAGATTGGCTATGGATTTATCAGTTTGATTTATTCTTTCAATGAACCAACTCTTTGATCCATTAATTTTTTGCATTAATGTATGATCTGCTCTTTATAATTTCCTACATGTGTAAGTGTTAGGTTTGACTTATTCTTTCTTGTTAAAAATTTGAGGTTCACCTCGTGGTTGTGACTGTTACTGTCTCCTGTTTCTCACTTTGTACACTAGCATGAGATCTTTTTTATTTCTGAAGTGTGGTTTGACATTGTTTAGGCTATTGCTTGTTGCTTCTTTTTAACTTTTCTTTTGTCACTTAAGTAAGATGTCTTAATTCTTATTTAGTGTTAGATCATTTAAAAGAAATTTTTTGAATATGATTTTTGTATCACCTTTTGAGTACTAACTATGGTGATACCTTGGAGAATTTTATGAATCCTGTAGCTCTTTTCTTAAAGACATTTAATTATTTGATGTAGACACCATAAAACATTTTCATTAATTGCTATATTTGGGACTCTAGAACAGGGCAGTCAGCTGTTTGGTGCCTGAAGCCAGATCAGACTCACTCTGAGGTTGGGGTGTCTTAGCAGTGTGCCAGGTGTGGTGGGAGTCAACCATAACTGAGATGACCTTTTCCTTCTCAGAACGGGATTCATTTGGGCCTGAAGACATTCTAATGACCAAAAGTCACCCAGGTTGTGACACATACCCTGGAAACTGCAGGCCAGGTGTTGCTTCCCGAGACATTTGAATTACAAATTTGGAGGTAGAGGGCTCAAATGTAAATTTGGGGACAGAAAACCTTTGTTTTGATTACCTCCAAATTCAAAGAAATGATGACTTTTAAAAGTCATTTGGTGTGGGTGTTGGGTTTCTTTATGGAGATGCCTACTGTTTTTTTGTTGTTTTTGTTGTTTTTTAATCCATTTGTATAATGTCGATAAATGTCAGGTTGAATTATTTTTTTTTTAAAAAAAGAAAATATATCATATACAGGTACAAAAAAAAATTGAGGTTCAACATTAGTTGTTTATCACTGCTTGTTCTTTTTTACTGAATGTGAGATTATATGCTATAAATTGCTTAGTATTCATTTTATTTTATCCTATAAGTTCTGATATATTTGGTGTTATTTAATTGTAGATACTGTTTAATTTCTTCTTTAAAATTTTCTGTGGAGTGTGCCTGTAATCCCAGGTCTTGGGAGGCTATAAACAGGCGGATCACTACAAGTAGGATCTAGTAGTGAGACCCTGAAAATCCTGTAGACCCTTCCCTAAAATACAAAAAAAAATTAAAATAAAATAAAATAAAATTTTCTGTGACCAATTATTCATCAAGAAGGTTTTGTTTAATTTCCATTTTTATGTAGATTTTTGTGGTCTCTTTGGCCATTGATTTTCAATTTCATTGCTCTATGCACAGACAACATGCATGGCATAATTTCATTCCTTTGCTGCATTTACTTAAGAATTCTATATGAGCCAGTTTATGATCTGTATTGGAGAAAGTTGTATGTGCATTTGAGAATGTGCATTCTCATGACATTCAGTGGAACACTCTATGAACATCTACTAAGTTTTTTTGTCCATAGAATTCATTCAGTTCTGATATTTCTTTAAAAAATATATTTATTATGGGAAAGAAAACTCCTATATGAGAGAAGGACAGAATAGGTCCCGAGCAGGTTGCCTGGGAAACTACCTTTTCTAAGGATTTTTATAGAACAAAACCATGTGGTGAGGCAGGTCTAAGGTGGAGAACATGGAAACTCACTTAGGTGGGCATGAGGTGGGACAAAACTATGGTCACACAATAAGACTACAAGCACCATAGCTCAAGTAAAATTGATTAAATCCAGGATCAAATGGGGAAGCCAGTCACATAGCAAGTGAATGTGAATATAGAACAGGGGTGGGGGAAGTTTTTCCTGTAGCCAGTTTGATCAGTGACTCTCTGGTTCCTAGGTGATTGATGCCTACTTAGAATATCAATCCCTGGGGCCAAGGAGATGGCTTAGTGGAATAAGTGTTTGCCTAACAAGTGCAAGGTTCTGAGTTTGATCTTTGGTACCACCAAAAAAAAAAAAATGAATATCAATCCCTGGTGCCCATTCCTAAGGAAGTATGTGGCTGCATTTGTTTAGTCTTTTGTCTTGAGGTCTGGTCCACAGCAGATGTGTCTGTCTCTCCCAAAGTTGCAAAGTCATCTTGTCTTTTATAATGCCTCCTTGAGAGCCTAGCCCTGTCTGATTGCATATAATATTTTTATGTAGCTCAGCCGCTTGTAGCATTTTCCTCTCTGAAGAAGGAACCCAAACTGACATGACGGAACTATGGGTGATGACTGCTCTGGCTTCTTCAAGCTGAAATGGGTTGTAGTTGTTGAATGACAGCTAGAGATACTCTCCATAGGTTCTATCTAAAGACCTCAATAGACAACAGGCATTTTTCTCTTGGGTAGAGGAATAACTTTAAATCCGGAGGAATCAAAGCCAAAGAAATAATTAAAAAGGCATGGGCCAAATAATAACATCAATGG